GACGTTTTCTTTTTAATTCATGCAATTGTCCTCTCCTGTTCTCACCACCAGTGCCATGTTTTTTAAAATATTAATCGTTCAGCAACAGCCATTTTTCAACCTATCATAAGCTTCTGTCTGGTGCCATGTTTAAGTGAGTGTAAAAGCCACTTATCTCCAGTAACATTAATTTTTTTTAATGGATTCATTCAAGCCCATGCATTTTAGCAAAAAGAGACACCTTTATTTCATTTTACACCCAAGCATGTCAACTGTCGCTGGGCCTTACCAGCGATTCATCAAGGAGCTAAAAGGCTGGGCCTTCCAAATGAGATACATTAGCTCGCATTCAATATTAATAACTTATGCCAATATTTATTTGGGCCAATATTTAAGCGGTTGATGTCATAGCAGTGAGGCTGGGTGGTAGCATGGGAAGCCACGGCGTGGGAACCGCAGGCAGGGTGAGAAGGAAGTAGCACGGGAAACATCCTCACGGCAAATTCAGGGATAGATGCCCGCATCCACCATCGTCGGATGGAACTGCTGAGTTGAAGTGATGCTGTCAGGTGAGGCTAGATTTGTGGGCATTTTTCAGCTCTCCGCTGCACTGGTCAGTCCACAGCGCAAGAAGGATGCTGTGGAGCTAGAAAAGGTTCAGAGGAGAACCACCAAGAAGATAGGAGGCTTGGGGTCTTAAATCCGACGAAGAGCAGTGGAAAGGGTATGGTTTAGCCTCCCAGGAGAGGTGGGTGAAGGGAGATAAGACAGCTGTGATGGGATGTCCCAGGGAAGATGGTGTGGATTTATACTCCATACTGCAGTCTTTCTCAATTTTCTTGGCAGCTTGGATAATTCGGGGAGTTCCCAGCCAGCGAGGTTTGGGAGAAGCTATCCAAGTTCACATAAGGAGGAATTTCCTGACTGCAAGAACAACGAAGCAATGGGACAGACTCTCTTCTGGAGGCTCCATAGCTAGAGGTTTTCAAGGAAAGGTTAGACATCCCTTGGTCTGGAATAATTTGAGGATTCGTGGTCTGAGCAAGGTTTGTGGCTAGAAGGTCCTTTCCACCCTGAGTCTATGAGGTCTCCAGCATAGCTGTCTGGAGAATTCTGGGAGCTGAAGTCCACAAGTCTTAAAGTTGCCAAGTTTGGGGACCCCTGTTAATCTAAACCATAAATAAAATGGTTGAGTCTTGACACTTTGATTCCTGACATGCACAAACCGTTGCAGAAGTTGATGGAGTTGGATGAAATGGCAAAATTGATTAAAGAATAGGACTACTGTGGTTTCCACATGGAGACCGCTTCTGAACTTTGTGCTTGAAGTGGAAAAGAGTGAAACTTCGATTTTTGGTTTTACCGATTAGGTTTGGTAGATCTTTATAGAAATGGCTTGTTCGTACTATTATGAAAGAAAATGAAAAGTTGTGATTTGGTGTGGATGCCTTATTTTACTGCAAGAGAAAGAGTCAGTGTTTCTTTTCCTTTTCTTTCTTTTTTTCTTATCTTTCCTCACTTCTCTTCCTCCTCACCGTTTTCCTATTTACTTTTGTATTTTGTATCTTATTTTATCTTATAACCCAATAAAAACGCTAAACAAGGGAAACGGTCAAATTTGACTCCTGGGGACTCCTTGTTTTCTCAGGAACAACATGCAGTTTGCTATTTTCTTCTGGGATGCATGTGTGTCCATCCCAGACTGGTGTATAGGCCTGATAGTCTCTCATCCAAGAGTTAGCCTGGCCCTTCTCAGCTCAGACAATGTCGTTTACCTGTTGCTACCTGCTGAGAGTGGTGGGATTCAATTTTTTTAAACTACCGGTTCTATGGGCGTGGCTTGGTGGGCATGGAAGGTGAAGGATACTGTAAAATCTCCTTTCCCTCCCCACCCCACTAACCTGCTTTCCAGCTCCATTCTCCTGTACAGGGCAACCAAAGAAGACCCAGCCAATCCGCTGGGACTCAATGGGAGGCGGAGCATAGATGGGGCGGGGCCAGTCAGAGGTGGCATTTGCCGGTTCTCCGAACTACTTTAAATTTCTGCTACCGGTTCTCCAGAACTGGTCAGAACCTGCTGAATACCACCTCTGCTGCTGATACTTTGAATTCACAACTGAGGCTTAAATCAAGGTCGAAAGGCGATGGACCAAGCAACGTACAGGAAGTCCTCGAACTTTAAATGAGTCATTTAGTGAGCATTCAAAGTTCCAACGGCCCTGAAAAAAGTGACTTTTGACAGTTTTTCACCCTTATGACCATTGCAGCATCCCCATTGTCAGGGGACCAACATTCAGAGGCTTGACAACTGGCATGTATTTATGACCATCACGGGCGGTCATGGGATCATCTTTTGTGAACTTCTGACAAGCAAAGTTGATGGGGAATCACTTAACGACCAGGTTACTAACTTAACAACTGCAATGATTCACTTAACAACTGTGGCACAAAAGGGCATAAAATGAGGCAAAACGACTGTCTCTGTTTAGCAACAGAAATGTTGGGCTCCATTGTGGTCGCAAGTCGAGACTGCCCCTACATAAAATGTGATTTTGTGAGTATGCAGCCTAATCTTTAATGTTTTTCTACTTGTACCCTACGTGAAGGCTTACCATTGCAGAGTCAATGGACATCCCATCTGCACTGCATTAAGGACTTAGAAAACTGAGCTACAAATCATGCAATTATTAGTTTTGGTTTTGCCATCCCAAACTAAAATTTCTCTCTGCCTTCCTTCTTTACCCCACATTGACTCAGCATTCAATATAAAAATAGTGACTTCCCTCGTTGTCTTAAAGATATGGACCAATTCGCGTAGCATGGAACATTGTGTGAACCTTCTGGAAAATTCTGCTTCCTTTCTTCTGCGTTGGACTGCAAAAGCCTATAATCCCCTATGCAAATTATGGGTTTTGAAATGCAGTGCTTTTACTTGAAGGGCACCAAGCTTGGAGAATGCAGCTCTTCAATGCAATGATTGGAGAAATACCACACAGAGAGCATCCCATGCATTTGAAAGAACGAACCTGCCTATGTTTCGTGGGAAGTAGGTTGGGACTTATTTTAATAAAAAGGATCTCTGGGTGTTTGGAATGGATCATACCCTTTCCTCGCAGGGGGCAACATACCGAAAACTTGCTTACCCAAAGCAAAAGCAAGGGAATCAACAAAGTCAAGACGAGCGCAATAAAGAGGCGGAGCATCTACCAAGCTCTGTGGCTGCCATCTTGTTTTTTTTTTTAAATTCCTTTCACATGTGGTGCTGATCAAAAGTGAACTCCTTTCCGATCTAGAAAGATATTAGCAGAATAACAGAGTTGGAAGGGACCTTGGAGGTTTTCTAGTCCAACCCCCTGCTTAGGTAGGAAACCGTACATCATTTCAGACAAATAGTTGTCCAGTCTCTTCTTAAAAACTTCCAGGGTTGGAATCCTCACAACTTCAAGAGGGCAAGTCGTTTCACTGATCAATTGTTCCAACTGTTAGAAAACTTCTTTTCTTCTTAGTTCTAAGTCGGCGTCGCCAACCTTTTGGACCTCAGGGACCACCAAACACATAATTTTAAATCCTGCAGACCAGAGACCCTGGGAAAATCCCCCCAAAAAGTCTGCAGGAAAATTCCCCGCTCCGTTTTCCTACTGATCGATCATTCTTTATTTGGGATCATAGGATACCATCTCCAGCTCTGGTCTCATGGGGAGAGAGAGAGAGAGACTTTTGGCTTCATGCAAGGAAAGCAGCAGAAGCTGCAGAAGTCTTTCTTTCTCTCCTCCAAACTTTGCCAGAAATGACTCTTTGTAAGACTTGTCATGCCAGCACAGCCTCTTGGAGCAGGATGCCTTGCAGGGTCCCAAAGACTCATTTCTGGCAGAGTTTGGGGAGAGAAAGATAGACTTTTGCTGCTTTCCTTGCATGCAGCCAAAAGCAGAAGAAGAAAGAAGCGGAAAGAAGCAGCCGGGCAGCCAGGCAAGGCACGTGAGGCGAGTGGGGCAAGTTTCCCCCCTCTGCCCTTTCCCCCCTCCCCTCACTACCTCGAGTTGTTCGCAATGCAAGTGACGCAAACCTTGTGTTCCCATGGGCCATGTGTCGGCACAGCCTTGTGTTCCCACGCAGCCTGGATTAATTGCTTTGGGGGGAATGCTTTGGGGGTGACATTTCTCTGCGGACGGCCAAAATTTTCTCACGGACCACCAGTGGTCCCCGGCCCACTGGTTGGCAACCACTGTTCTAAGTTGCTTCTCTCCTTGATTGGTTTCCACCCATAGCTTCTTGTCCTAACCTCAGGTGCTTTGGAGAATAGCTGGACTCCCTTTTCTTTGTGTATCTAATCCCTTAGATATTGAAACACTGCTATCATGTCACCTCTAGTCTTTCTTTTCATTATACTCATTTAGAATAAACATATTTTTCCAGTTACACAGCCATGGACCCTCTTCAACTTTTATTTCATTCCTCCTGCCTCAGGAAACTTCTCTCGATGACATGCCCAATGCAACTTCGCCTTTCGCCTCCTGGCTTCCAACCCCTGGCAAGTTTCAGCTGGAAATCGAGGCAGCGAAAGGCAAGGCACAAACACTGGTGGTGGTGTTTTTGTTTTTTGTTTAATATTATTATTATTATTATTTTGCCCAGAGCAGCTGCTGAAGCGAAGCGAAGGGAAGTCAAATGTCAGCCTCTGTGTCCCTTCTGCTGTATTTCGAAATGTATGACTTGAATCTGTAATTGTGTCTGATTGGCTGGCCACGAAAACAAATGCCAGCAAGGCGGGGAAGTGGGGAGGGTGCATGACCCACATTTGTTTCCTACTGTACGCTGGTTGTGTAATTCAAATTTATCTCCTGTAAAAAAAAATAAAAATAAAAAAGCCCCGTGGAAGGCCTCACTTCCCAGCAGATGGCAGCAAAATAGAGAAAAAGTGGGTGTAAAGAGGCAGCCGCCACCAGATTTGAGGTCTCTAACAGCCTTAGTTTCACTTGTCTGCTTTTGAATCCAAGGTAAGTTAAGGCAGGCAAAGAGGTTTGGATCTGGGTCGCTTTTAGGCCTGACTTTCGTCTGTCTGAGACAGCTGCAAATCCCACAATGGGATGCTGGGGATCAACATTTAAATTATCTGGTGGCGGTTGATTTGTTTTTTTTCTTCCCTGCACCGTTGGGTTTTCTTGACAACTTTTAATGTTTTGAGAGGGTTATGTAATTTGCAGATCCTTTCCCTATACCTATACCTTCCCCCTTTGAAGATTGGCATCCAAAGCTAAGCAATCCTCAAGTTTGTTAAACGTGAGGTTATTATAAAGTAGGACTTATCTTGTTTGTAATCAGCATCTGGGTTCAGGCTGCAAAATTAGGAGCAGAGATCGGTGCAAAACTGCAAATCAGGCCAGTGGGCTTCCCTGCGCCCCCCCCCCCCCTGCAGCTGGTGAAGGAGTGGAAATATAGTAAAATCTGAGGCAGAATTCTCAATGCATATTTTGTAGGATTTTATATTTCTTCACAGACAAGTCAAGATAGGGACATTTCAGGAAGGTTCATTACCCTTTATTTTTAATCTTAAAACTTTGCTCTCTCTTTGTGCCTTTAGAGGGAAAAAAAACTAGGCTTGTGAATCTGTAATTTGAACTGTCATCCATTTAGAGTATGCCTATGATTGATTGATAGGGTGGAAAATTCCATGAAACTGACATTTATTTTCTTTTCCAGTAGACTGACATTACTACGGTGTTCATAATGTGTAATTTCCTGTCCAGCAATCTCACAGAAGGTAAGAAACACATTTCATAATCTTATTTTAATTTCTTCCCATGTTTTACTTTTTTAAAAAACCAAGGGTATTCTTTTAAATCTGAAGTTCCGAAATTGGATTTTGAAACAGATTCTGTTATCCGGATTTTCATTGCTTGTATCTCATTTCTTCTTCTTCTTTTAATTAGAAAGCAGGTGATTTTATTTTGAGGTGTTACTGGCAACATAAACCTTGTTTGAGTTCAAGTTTATGTGTTAAAGTTTGTTTTCTACTTGACTGTGTTTTACGGGGAATTTGGTATGGTTGATATTCAGAAAATAGAGAAGGATCAATATCCGTGTAGAGGAGCAGTTATGAGGAAAAATTTCCTGAATCTAGCCAGGAGAGCTTTTGTATAGCTTAATATAATGACTTCAAATACATAAACCATCTTATTAATTTTGCTCCTTTGTTTCTCCGTGTTCTTCGCCTGGCAAATATTTTGACAATTGTAATGATAAACTTCCATTTTTCCCCAATTCCACCCAGTTTTAATGATGGGATCCAGAGAGCTTTGATTGCAATTGACCTTGAGGTTAGTGTAAGCCTCTCACAATTCAGCACAAGCTGTCGACAAGAATTAGCAAAGGCAAATCTTCTCACACTCACCAGAAAAAGACATATTTTGGGATAGTATTTGAGTGAAGCCATTAGGAGGAGAAACCATCGGATAATAGTGAAAAGTTAACATTCATTCTGCTGATGATGCACCTTTTTAAAAAAAAAAACTTCTTGCAAGAAAATATTTTTAAATCCTTGCAAAAGAACAATGTTCAGCTCCCTGAAATTATGAGATTTCCAATGGCTGAATTTCCAGAAAGTCATCTTATATTAGTTAAATGTAATTATGGGATCAGCACAGGTTGCATTATTTAGAGTTCCTGTTGTGAATGGCATTGCCTCATCCAGAATTTGTTCAGGACCGAAGTGGTTATTCTCAGAATAAATACTTAATACTTAAAATATTTTCTTGCAAGAAGTTTTTTTTTAAGGTGCATTTTATCCTATTTTCACTCAGCTGCTATAATCTTTTGTTATGGGGGATTGGGGTAGGAGAAGAAAAGAGGAGTAAGCCTACTTTAAAAAAAAAAAAGGTTGCATATTTTTCATGCAAATAATAAATGACCAGAGCCCCTAAACTGAGCTGAGTCTGTTTTCCTCCAGGATGATATATTATTTCCGGGGGCCACTGGATTTTTTTTTTTTTTAAGGGAATAACAAAATATAAATGCATCAATATAGTTGATAGGCCAGATTCAAATAAAGCAACAATCTTACAGGTAGTGTAAGATGGGGAGGCAATTTAAAAACATCAAAATGGAAGCTACCATGAAATTGAAGTTGATCTGCTTTTAAGGGGAGGAGCTTCAAACTCGGCGGTAGTGCCATCTTGACTTTTAAAGCCTCTCCCCTACAGATACCACTGCTTATTGGTAAATAAATCGAGTTGAAATTGGAAAGGATAATTTCTAAGAAATTGTAGTTAAATGGGTCTCAATGGCAGGGGGAAAAAAATGAATGTTCTTAAGTATTTTGTTAAAATAATACCTTAATGAAATTAAGTATATGTCCTTCCTCTAAGATTTTTTTTGCTGAGTATTTGGTTGAATCCATTTTTTTTCTTTTGTGGCCTTCCCTTCTAATAGACATTTATATTACAGCAGCAATTAATAATTTAGATTGCATTTAGGTTAATGGAATTTTATTACTTAGAAGATCGCCTTTTATAGTCAGGTTACATTCAATAAACTTGACTTTTGTTTCATACCTGCAACTGGAAAAGTATGCCAAAAAGAGAGCAGATGAGCTATTAAAGTAATTTCCAATGCCGAGCTGGTCTAGTCTCAAGTTAAATATTTTTATATCCCGTGGACTGGATTAGCAGAATGCAAGATTTGCTGAAGCAATCATATTTTGGACTTTTGTAAAAGGAAAAAAAAACACCAACCCCTGCTTCTAATCTATTCAGTATCCTCTCTTTATTATTATGATTTGGAAGTTAGAAATATAAAGGAAGAAAAACTCTGTAGTTTTATATGCATGTATGTTTGTAGTTTTGAAAATTAGAGCAAGCTCAAAGTGCTTCAATGCTAAATGAATGTACAACTCAGATTTAATTTTTCAATGTGAATAAGTAGAGACATTTTATTATTTGAATTTTTTCCTTTCTCTAAGCAAGAAAAAGGGAATATAGAAAAATATTTTGATATGTTAAAAATTTATCTAAAGGACTTAATTTATAATATAAATTGTATAACACAATAGATAATTGATTTTTATCTTCCATAATTGTGCCTTATGTTTTTGGGACACATGCACCTTGCATCTCAAAACTAATTAGTTTAGGCATTAAAACAAATTAGTTGGGCATTTCTTTGAGCAAGGGAGCAGGATTGTACAGTTGTTGAAAATGTGCCTCCTTTTCTTTGTATAAAATAGCATTAATCGGATAGCAAATTTTACAACGTTTAAGGAAATTTCAGTTAGTTAATCCAAGTGAGTTGCTTTCATCCGCCTTTACTTCTCTGTGTTAAATTCTATATTTTAAACAGGGCCTTGCAATCTGACGGCCAGCATATCTTATCCGATAAAGTCTATTTGTTAAGATTTAACCAATTAATACTACAGTTTTGAATAAAGTTACACAGAAGTATGTAATTATTTTCATTGTTGAACAACAGTGTAATTATTGTAATTTACAAACTTGGAACAGAAATTATACTGAATTATGAAACTTGACATAGAATTTATATCAGAGGAAGGGTTTTTTTTTAAGTCTGTGAGGCCTGGTATTATTAAATTTTGGGTCGTTGAGTTGCAAGTTGTGTATTGTCAGGAATATAAACCTTCTTTTTTAATGATATGACAGAGAAATTAAAAAAAAAAGGTTTCTGGCAATCGTGTATGTGAGTGAAGCTGTATGTATGTGAGTGGCACAAGTGCATCCACCAGGGATACAGGGTGGGAAGTGATGTCATGTCCCTCATGACATCATTTGACAAATTACATAAATGATGTAATTTATATCCTTCCTGCCTAATGATGTCATGCCTTTTATGATGTCATAAGATACTTGCTCTGGGTATTTGGACATTGATTTAAATACACAAAAATCAAAAAGATCTATTTTTTTTATACTTTCACCCAAAGTTGATTGATTATGTGCCATCAATCTAGTTTGAACTCTTTTAATGACCATAAAGATAGACTTTCTCCATGAACCATCCCAAAAAGAGTAATCTTTATTGAGACATCTGCTTTTCATATAAGATCTGTTCATATTAAAGTGTTACACAGAGGTGGGCTGCACATACTGTAACAACCGGTTTGCCAAAAATGTGAGTGCATACCCCCTTTGTTTAAAAATTATTATAAAATTATTTTAATTTTTGCCATTCATATTTCATTTCATCCTTTCTTTCTATTGCATTATTTCTTTGATATTAGTGTAATTCTTCTCCCATGGTGGGTTGTCCTGTGGCAAGTTGGCCATAGAAAATTGTCCCGTGGCAAGTTGGCTACAACAAATTGGCTGTGGTGAGTTGGCTGTGGCAAGTTGTCATAGACCCAATGAGTGGTGGGTTTCTTGTTAATAGCGGCATACTTATACTTTTGAAACCACAATGATTGAAATCTACGTCAGAGTTTAAGACTTCAATATTTCTCCCTTTTTTATTTTTTCCAAGGTACCAGAAAGTAATATGTATTGTAAAGTTAATGTTGTTGAGATGTTTGTGACATCTTTCTTTCTATGTAACGAAGTTTTACAAATCAGTGTGACTGGGCCTTGATGCTACCATGATGTGTAATGTTGAGTCCTTTGAGGTAGCGCAGATCAGGAAATCAAAGTTATGAATGCTAATGCTACTTTTATTATAAGATTGTATCATGCCCCCATCGAAGTCTGAATCTGTGGGGAAAGATGAGCTGGAACAAAAGGTGACAGAGATTGAGAGGGTGTCTCCGTTGGCCTTGGAGGAAACTGGGGAAGGGCAGAGTCCGTCCAGGTAAGGCCTTTCTGAGTTATTAAGGCCTGCAGACAGGGAGAACTCAGGAGAAGAACAAGGACTAACCCCTTCTGATCCGAGAGCAAGGAGGGAAGAGAGACGGCGAGATCAACGCAGATTGAGCTGGCTATGAGGGAGGAGGGTGCCCCACCCCCTTTCACAAGGCACACCTGGGGACTGAGATGTAAGGAGGTGCTGTTGGGAGGGGCATTTGTCGGGAACAAGTGATAACTCTGTGAAGCCTCGTGTGTACTTGCCAACGCCTGGAGATTGCTGTGTTCTGTCTTGTGGGGCTCGCCAGTTTGCCTTCTTGGCTGAACTTCTTGCTCTGGTTAGCTTGGCTAACCTGGTTTATTGGACTGCTGGCCCTGGTTGCTGTTTGGCTAACCTGGCTTACTGGATTACTCTCAGCCAGAGGCTTCTGAAGGTGCATGTGAGAACTTTGCTCCAGGATTTGTCGTGAATGTGGGCACAGTTGGAGCAATAAAGGGGAGTTAGACCTATTCTCTGGTTGTGTTGCTTTCGTGCCACGCCCCGGGTCATCACAGATACAGCACAGGCAGTCCTTGGTTTATGACTGGTTGCTTAGCGACAGTTTGAAGTTATGACAGACCTCCTGAGGGCACTTATGAACTTGGTTTTAAATTTCCGTCAGCTTCCTTTCCAACAGTCATATGACCAATGTTGGCAACTGATCCAAATTTACGTCCATTTGCAGCTCCCTACAGTCACATGACTGTGTTTTATAACCTTTTTTTTTTTTTTTTTGCTGAAAACTGGATTTTTGGCAAAACCAGCCCATAAAGAACCATTGGTTTGCTTAATCTCTGCTGCAAGAAAAAAAATATTCCCTCAATCAGATAAGCCTTGTGTGAAACCTGCTTTGCAACCATCATGACTTACAAATGTGATGGGCTGGCTCCATTACGGTTGTAAGTCGAGGATGACCTTCAACAGAACCTTGCAAGTCTA